CCCGATTGTTTATGGCAGCACAATTCACTATTGCAAAGATGTGGAAACAACCCAAGCGCCCGTCAATTCATGAGTGGATTATTAAAATTTGGTATATGTATACAATGGAATATTACTCAATCGTAAGAAACGACAGTGATCTAGCACCTCTTATATTTCCTGGATCGAACTTAAGCCCATTATCCAAAGTGAGGTATCACAAGATCAGAAGAATGGGCTCCACTTGTACTCGCCATCAAATTGGTACTAACTGATGAACACTAGGGTGCTCACATGGCAGTAATACTCTCCAGGGATTAGGGGGATGGGGGGTAAACCCACAACTAAAGGATATGGGGAGCATTGTAGAGGGAAGGGCATGCCTCTAACCCTTGCTTGGGGGAGGCAAAGACATAAAATGTAACCATAATGTTTATACCCTCATAATACCCTGAAATAAAAAAAACATGAAAAAAAATAAAATGGAGCAACACTTAAAGAGATAAATTCATTGCCCCAGTAACCAATGTGAGATGGGGGCAGGGAGTTGGAGGCAGGTACTCAAGCCTCCAAAGCTCCTATTGCCTTTTGTGATTTTTATTTGTCTACTTTCTCTTTCCCAATTAGACGAGGAAGATATCCCCCTGTACAGACACTAAGACACCTCTCCACCTGGCCTGGGATTCAGTAAGTAACACTTGCTTTCTCTTTGCGGACGCTTTCCTTTGTGGTCCGAGGGTGAGATCACACCAGGTTACAAATGAACAGCTTAGTAAATATGTTTGTTTTTTATGTTAGGTAGAAGAAGTTGTTCATGATGCAATTACTAGGAGTCTACAAGCTTTTTATAACATGCTGCAGTCATATGACCTTGGAGACACAGGGCTTATTGGTCGAAATAATTTCAAGAGAATCATGAACATATTCTGCCCACTTTTAATGAATGAACATTTAGTAAAGTAAGTTTTTGATAACAAAATTAATTTATGTCATATTTATCATCAAGTCTGTTTCATAATTCTAAACCTTTTTCTATGTACTTTTGCAATATTAATAGATAATATTGAAAATAGCAGCTGTTTATTGAATCCTTACTAAGTGCTGGACATGTGAGGTAGCTAATATTATTCCTTTCGACGGATAAAGAAACCGAGACCTGGAGAAGTTGAGTACCCACTCCAAGTCACACGGTGGGAAGGGAAGCCTGGGTTCCAGGACTCTGTGCTCTTTTCTGTTTTCTTATTTTGCAAGCAAATAACTTTATTTTTATTTTTAAGTACTATCTTGTAAAATATTGTTCAAAATGCAAAGATTTCATCTCAACTCTTGCTGAATTTAGAAAGCTCTTTTGTTTTAGTTGCTACAGTTAAATATGTTGAGTTCTGATGGTCAGAGCATTATTATCAAGAGTTTTTTGTGGTTTAACACATAAAATATTGATAATTGAACAATTTAATTATATATAATCAACTAAGTACTGTTGATTTTACATAACGAAACTATTACATAGGGGTAGACCAGTCATGGTTAAGACAGAGCGTAGTTCGAGACACTTCATTTCTGGGCCAAGAAATTCGACAATCGGGCCACAGCTGATTGGTGCTACCTGCTCACCTCTAAAGTATTTGCATATGCTAAAATTCCAATATAAGTTCTTATATAATTCTATACCAACACTTCTAATTTAAAAAATTCTTTTTTACATTTATTCTATCTTTATTGTGGTATACTTTACATACAATAAAGCCGCACATATTTAAATGATACAATGTGAAGAAATTTGTCATGTGTCTATAGGACCATCACAAGTGGATATCATACATTTCATCACTCCAAAAAGCTTCCTCGTGCCCTTTTGCAACTCTTAGCTCCCTCCTCCCATCCCCACGTAACCACTGACCTGCTCTCTTTTGCTGTAGATTACATTGCCTTTTCTAGGACTTTATATAAATGGAAGCACACAATATGTTCTCTTTTTTGTCTGGCTTTATTCATTAAGCATAATGATTTTGAGATTCATTCATATTGTTACGCATGTCAGCAGTTCGTTCCTTTTCACTGCTGTGTAGTATTCCATTGTATAGTTTTACCATAGTTTGTGTATCCATTCATCTATTGATATTAATAGATATGTGGTTTTTTTCCAGTTTTTGGCTATTACAAATAAATCTGTCTATATTGTATAACTCTTTGTGTAGACATACATTTTTATTTCTCTCAGGTAAATGCCCAGGAGTAGAACAGCTGGCTCCTGTGGTAATCGTAATTCAGTTGTCAAACTGTCTCCCAAAGTAGTTGCGCATCTTCCATCCCACCAGCAGCGGATGAGAGCTGTAGTTACCTTCCTGCATCTTCACTAGCACTCGATAGTGTTAGTCTTTCTAATTTTAGTCATTCTAATGGGTATGTTCTGATTATTTTTAAAACTCAGACTCTGCAGTAAGTTTCAGGATAATGCTTCAGGAAGAATCCTTTACAAGAAACTTTTGGCAAGCATAGGCATTAATGGCCCACCTGTCGTCTCTCCAATTCTTGCTCCAAAGGATCAGCTAAGTGAACGTTTTCAAAAAGCAAAGCAGCAGCAGCCAGATCTTTCTGAGAGGTAAAATAAAGCAAAATGAAAGCACATACCGCACTGTCTGTCATGGAATAGGTTGACTAAATGAATATTTTAATATTTGTTGACTAAATGAGTATTTTAATATCTTATTATTTAAATAAGAAAGATGGCACACCATACATACAGTGATCAGAGTCAGAGAATTTTAGAGCAAACGGAGATCTTAGGAATAAATCTACTTGTTAATTTTAGAAATGAAAGCACTGATGTCTCAGAGGTCTGGGGACTTGTATCACAAACTTAGTGGCCAGCCTGGGTCAAGAATCCAGGACTCTCAACTCTCAGAGACACTGGTCTGCAACTCGACTCTTACATACCTGCATTCACATTTATTCTTTTCCAGAAACTTACATTCCTTGCCACAATTTAATATTTATTGTAACACAAACCCATTAAACCAGTTAACGTTTTCTAATATGAATGATAGAATTATTAAAATGATTGCCAAATTGAATTGTAACAATAAAACGTACTTAGTAAATCTATAAAAAATTGGAACGATGAATATTCTATCTCTTCTTCATTTAAAAATATAGCTTTAGTCTAATGAAAAGATATTATTTTAATTTGCTTGCTCATAGCTTATAATAAATCCATAATGAAAGGTAAAATGTAGGACTATTCAGCAGACTTCACTTTGTCGTAACACTTTTAAAAAGTTCTCAAGTATAGAGAGCAATGGGAATATTTTAATGATATGCTAATGAATTTGAATATCTGTGCTTTTCAGTAGTAGCCGCTTTATAAATGGGCAGAAAGAGGGTATTTTAAGAGAAAGGTTAAATATTCTGTGATAAGATATGTCTGCTTCCTAAAACTGGTGAAAGAAGCAATGGTGATTAAGCATTTCATAAAATCTAGGCTTTCCTGGAGAGCTCTTAAAAATTGAGAGAAGCAGCAGAGAAGGAATAGACGTCCATTCTCCATGACTATTTGGTGGCTGCTTTTCTCCCCCCACCCAAAAAAAAAAGAGACCCAAGAGACTTCTAGAGAGCTGAGGAAATAATTATCCCCAAACACCCACACATACCCCTATAACCATACTCACATTTATAGCACATACAATTTATATTTCATAAATCAAGTTGATTTCATAAATCACCCTGTAATAACTGTGGACTTCTCTTCCTTTCCGCACATGTTTGATGACTCCCTTGATCTAGTTACCACAAAATGGCCAATTTCTTTAATTTAAAGCTTTCTAATGGGCTCTGACTTTAAATTTTCCCACTTCACAAAAGTATCCTTTTTCAACCATGTGTGGCCAGCCTCCCACCACCTTCAGTCAGCTCAAAGCACAGTGAAAATCTCAGCACAAGGACGATAGTATCTTCTCAAGCGCCCCACCTGGGCTTGCCACCATAGTAGAGGTGCCATGGGAAGAGTTTCGCTGGGACACAGTGCTGCTGACCTGCAGTGCTGGCCCTGGTCCTACAAGCCAGGGGAGTGTAAGAAGTCTCCGAGTCACTCCACCTTTCCAAGCATCTGTTTCCTCTCTTGTGAAACAGGCAGTGTGAACCTTATTGTCGTGGGTTACATCGAAATTGGGTGCTCTGGTTGTGTCAGTTGACGCTGGGTCTAAATGCCTGCTTTTGATTTTAGAACCAAGCCCACTGAAGATAAAACCACCCTGACCAAGAATATGACCAAAGAAGAAGTTATCAAAAAACTCAAAAACTATATACGGCAGCAGGACCCAGCATTCAGAAAACGATTTCTTGACTTTGGCAAAGAACCTAATGGAAAAATCAACGTGCTTGAATTTAAGAAGGTAGGAGAATGGGTTTCTGTGTGTTTCTTTCTTTTCTGAAGAAGTTCGGTTTTATTATACTAACATACTTTAAAGGATAATGATTTATCCCAGGACAAAGCAGATCCATTTCTAGGCATCTTTGAACAATTTAAAAGAATTCTTTTGGTCAAAAATTGTCTTTGGCAAATATCTTCAGAGAATAATTTCAATACGGATGTGACCAGTTTTTGATATTTAAACTGTTAAAACAAAGCATTCATTGATGCATTGTTTGGCGATCTCCTAATCCTGGCGCTGTGGAGGTGGGAATACGAAGCTGCCCAGGACCCCTGCCTGCCAGCGAAGAGTTCTTGTGATGCTGTGATAACAGAGCTGTGGTTTGTTCCTCTGGAAAGTATAAAAAAAAAAAAAAGAAGAAAGAAATCTGGCAGTGAGATATGGGAAACTCAGTGCTGATTTGCATGTGCTTATGGGAACTAGTGAGTTTCTGCCAGAAAGGGCTCAGCTTGGAGGGTTCTGCGTAGACTTCTCAGGAATTAATTTAAATGATTGCTTAAAATTCCTATTATGATCCCTCTAGCTAATCATCTTCAGCTATTTTTAAGGAAAGCATTTCGGTTAATATGTAACAGTGTCCATGTGGACAAATTTAGAAGCAATGAAATATATTTCCAAGAAGAGAGTAATTACATTAGTAGCCACTATTGATCTAGTGCTGGCCCCTATGCCAGGCACTGTAATAGGCTCTTTATGCTCTCATTCCTAAGCCTCAGGACTGCAGCATCCTGGAGGATGGGCGGGGGGAGGGAGATGGGGTTGGGTAACTATTCAAATGGCCCAGACCCTCTCCCCTCCCCAAACAGGACAAAACAAAGATCTCAAGGGTCTGGTGTTCTGTGAGCATAAGGGAATGGTGAGGAGAATGGGTTGAAGAAAGACTAAGAAATAAGAGGTCAGGGATAGGAAATGAGGATGGGGGATAAGAAATAGAGGAGTAAGGCAGAGGAAGGGTTCCCAGATTTCTGGTTTTGGGGACCACGTGGTTGATAATCAGTCATTGATGACTTTGATGAGACTTCAATGGAGTGAGTGGTGGCGTGGGAGCCAGGGCTGGAAGGTGAATAAGCACCATCTATTCCCTCCACCCTCCCTCCCCGCCCCTGCAGGGCCCTCTGTCCTAGGTTTTACTTCACCCCAAGTAACCTGGCACCAGTGTCCTTGCCCCTAATGCCTAATAATCTTGAACTAGCCCAGTGTTCAGCATCGATGCTTAGAGGCACAGGACACTAGCAATTCTTAGTCTGCCTCTGGTTTTTCAGAGTAGAAAGTGACTATCTTAGAGAAGAGGCAGGAGAGGGTGGCAAAACTGGGACAAAGACCCATGGCTTCTGACTTTGAGGGCAGCTTCTTTCCTGGCCTGTCCTCTGCTCACCTGAGAACACCTTTAGGTCATCAGCTCAGCTGCTGGTTCTCCTGTCTCACATCCTTACTGTTGATGAGCCAGTGACTCCCGACTTCACGCCCCATACCGCCCTGCTGAGCCTCGGTCTCACGGGTCCTGCCTCCTCTCTGCCACATCGGCACACCTGGAGAGATACCCGTGTTCTTACCAAGGCTGCTCTGACAGCGTTCTTTCCATTCTCAGAGGCAACAACTTGTGTTCCAGTTGCTCAGGGCCTCCTCTTACCCCTACATCTAATCCATCAACAAAGCCTGTTGGCTCCCTTCCAGATTGTTCCAGAACAGACCCCTCTCCTGCTTCCCCCATGTCTCCCACTCGATTATCACAGCAGCCTTTTCATGCCTCCCTGCCCCACCCTTGCCGTGCTACCGTTAATGCTCTACAGAGCAGCCAGGGTGGCCCCTTAATGGGACCCCTCCTGCTCAGAACCTGCCAATGGCTCTGCATCTCACTCATGGGCTTGTGCTGTGGGAAGGAAGGATTGAGATCAGACGTAATGCAGGGGATCCAGAGGATAAGGGTTGGGAATGTGGGATTTCAGCGGCAAGGAAACCTTTGGAATGGACTTCTCTAGAGATCTTCGAGTACAATTGATGATAGTATTATAATTCTATAATGGCCGTAAGAGCAATAATGATGATGATAAGGGTTACCACCACTAGACAATGACAGTGGTGGTGACCATAACGATACAGCTACCATGCATTGAGTTCTTCCGATATCCAGGCACTGCAGAAGTTGCTTTGCATGTGTCATTTCTAATCCTCACAGGAACCCCGTGAGGTATAGATTACATTATACCCATTTCACAAAGGAGGAGACCAAAGCTTAGTAGTTAAGACAGTGGCTCAGTGTTGTTCAGCTGTTAAGCCGTTCAGGAACTTGGATGTGTTTTTTGTTTTGTTTTGTCTTTTTGAGACAGGGTCTTGTGCTGCTGCCCAGGATAGAGCGCAGTGGTGTCATCATTGTTCACTGAGACCTCAAACTCCTGGGCTGAAGTGATCCACCTGCCTCAGCCTCCCACCTCCCAAGTAGCTGGGACTACAGGTGTGTGCCACCATGCCTGGCTAATTTTTGTATTTTTTGTAGAGACGGGGTCTCTCTGTGTTGCTCAGGCTGGTCTTGAACTCCTGGCCTCAAGTGATCCTCCCACCTCAGCCTCCCAAAGTGCTGGGATTATAGGTGTGAGCCACCAGGCTGAGCCTGGAACTTGGGTTGGAATTCATACCTGTCTGTATCAGCCTCAGACCTCTCTGGGTGTAATTTGGGCCTTGTTAGGTGTGATACAGGCTTGCTGGGTATAATACAGGCTAGTGGGGGTAATGCAGCCTTCTGGGTATAATAAGGCCTTGCTGGGTGTACTGCAGGCTTTTGGGGTCTAATATGAGCTAACTGGATATAATACAAGCTTGTTGAGTATAATGTGGGCTTGCTGGGTATGATACGGCGTTCACTGGTGCAGGCTTATTGGGTGTAATATAGGCTTGCTGGGTGTACTGTGGCCTTGCTTGGTGTAATATGGTCTTGCTGGGTGTACTGCAGCCTAGCTGAGTGTAATTCAGGCTTGTTGGTTATACTGCAGGCTTGTTGGGTAATTGATGGCATCATATTTTGAGGTTGTATCCGGCCTCAGAGTTTTGTGAGAAGGACATAATTTTAATAATAATGCCACTTAACTTCTTCCTATTATTTTGGTCATGGCTATACAATGTTCTTGCCCTATACAGTATGTTAGTGTACTGAATTGTTAACACAGTGTATTTGTGTATCTAAACATATCTAAACATAGAAAAGGAGCAGTATAAATACTACATGCTAATTTTCTGGGACCACCATGGTATATTTAGTCCATCATTGATTGAAATGTCATCATGTGGTACGTGACTACATGCCAGCTTATTAACTGTGTTATCAGAACTTATACATCCTTACCAATCTTTTGCCTGCTCTTTCTACTAGCTGTTGAGACTCCCACCTGATTGTGGGTTTATCTAGTGAGATCCTTTTTTATTTTGCTGATTGCTGCATTATTTACTTTGAAACTAAATCATTTGGTACAATAGATTTGGGATTGTTGAAACTTCCTGTGAATTGTCTCCTTTATCATTATGACATAACTCTCTTCATGCAGAGTAATGCCCCTGGCCCTCAAGCCTGTTTTGTGTGATAATAATAATAATACAGTTACTTCAGCTTTCTTTTGATTAGTGTTAGTGTGGTATATCCTTTTATATCCTTTTACTGTTAAAATATCTGGCTACTTATTTAAAGCAAGTTTCTTGAGGGCAGTAGTCAGCTGATTGTTTAAAAGTCTGACAATCTTGGTCTTCTACTTAAAGCATTTAGCCCATTCTATATTTATTTAATTACTGAGATAGTTGGCTGTGTGTCTGCATCTTAGTGTTTTTTCTATTTGACCCAACTGTCTCATGTTTCTTTTTCTGTTTTTTCTTGCCTTCTTTTAGACTATTCAACTACTTCTAGGTTATGAGTTAGTATATTCTTGTATCAGTTTTATAGAGGCTACACTAGAGATTGCAACATGCATTCTTTGTTATTGTAGTCAAATATAAATTATTATGTTTACCATTCCCTAATGATGCTAGAGTTTTTAATAGTTTAATTTAATCTATCCCCTCTTCACTTTTGTGTTGTTGTCATGCATTTTAACTTTACATACATTTTAAATCCCACAGGCATTATTTGTTATTTTGTATAGTAAATTATCTGTCATATGAATCTATATATTTATTCTTGCTGTCCTTTCTATCTTACATTTTGTGTTTACAGCTGGACTTGTTTTTTAATTTTACCTAAAAACCCCCCTTTTGTACTTCTTTTAATGCAAATATACTGGTGACTAATTCTCCAAGTTTCTTCAGATTTCCTTAGTTTTTTGCCTACTTCCTTTTTCTGTCCAGGATTGCATCCAGGAACTCACATTATTTTAGTCACCACATCTCCTTAGGCTTCTCTAGGCTGTGACAGTTTCCTAGACTTTCCTTGTTTTTGGTGACCTTGATGGTTTTGAGGATGACAGGTCAGATATTTTATAGAATGTCCCTAGATTGGGATTTGTCTAATATTTTTCTCATGAAGACTGGGGAGTGTGTTTTTGGCAGGAAGACCACAGAGGTAAAGTGCCCTTCGATTCAAGGGTACCTACTATTAATATGACCTGTCACTACCGATGTTGAGCCTGGCCACCTGGCTGAGGTGTAATTTGTCAGGCTTCTCCACTGTTAAGTTACTCTTTTTTTTCCTTTCTCTCTCTTTCCATACTGCACTCTTTGGAAGAAAAATCACTATGCACAGCCCACGTGTAAGGAGTGGGGAGTTGTAATGCTTCACCTCTTTAAAGACAGAGCAACTCCATGCATTATTTGGAATTCTTCATGGACGATTGTCTCTTCTCCATTTATTAATGTATTTGGCCAATTATTGATACTGGTATGGGCTCATGCTTCATTATCCTTTACATATCTGTATGATCCTTAATGATTTTTCCTTTTTCACTCCTGATGTTGGTAATTTTTTATCTTTTCTCTTTGTTTCT